GTCAAAAATCTAGGAGTCTGAGGATTACTCTAGGCCCCTGCATCTTCCTCATTCCTCATGTTCAATCAGCATGTCCCATCAGATCTTGCTGATAGCCCCATATGTCCTGAGTTCTCAGAAACCCTCCTATTCCCCATTCATCCCTCAAGGAAGGGACAATCAAGGGTCATTAGACATTTGAAGAGAAAATCTATAGCATGAAAAAGGTAAGCAAAAGTAAACTAATACACAGATTGATCCTGAAGATAATTTAAAAAAAACTCTTAAGTAGTAGTTTCAGATTTGAAATTATATTGCCTATAAAAATAAAATGAGAATATGGTTAAAAAAAAATAGAGAATAACAAGGAACTTTTAGATGGTAAAAATATAACTGCCAAACTAAAATAATAAGGGTTGAAAGATAAGTAGAGGAAAACTAAGAGTTTACAGGGTAAAAAGACAAAAAGAAGGAAAATATAATAAAAGATAAGACATAAATGTGTAAGTCTAACATTCTACTAATAGGAATGCCAGGAAAAGAGAAAAGAGAAAATTAACAGAAAGGAACTATCAAAGAATAATAAAAATTTTCAAGAGCTAAAGATAGTAGTATTCAAAATAAGGTATCTTCGGTGCTGAGCAGAATTTTTAAAGGCACATGAATATAGATTATATAGAGGTAGATCACTGTGAAATTTTAAAACACCAGAAATAAAAGTTCCTGAAGAGCCCTAAAAGAAAGCAAAAATGTGCAGCCTACCAAGAAACAACATCTTCAGCATCAACAGATGTTGGAAGAAACAGAACAATGCCTTTAAGGATTTGAGAGGTCAGGCATGGTGGCTCATGCCTGTAATTACACCAATTTGGGAGGCCAAGACAGGTGGATTACTTGAGCTCAGCAGTTCAAGACCAGCCTGGGCAACATGTTGAAACTCAGCCTCTACAAAAAATACAAAAATTAACCAGGCATGGTGGCATGCTCCTGTAGTCCCAGCTAGTTGGGAGGCTGAGGCAGGAGGATCACTTGAATCCAGGAGGTCAAGACTCCAGTGAGCTGTAATTGCACCACTGCCCTCCAACCTGGGTGACACAGCAAGACCCTGTCTCAGAAAGGAAGGATTCGAGGAGAATCATATGCCCAGCAAAACTACTGAATAAGGATGAGGACAAAATCAACTCATTTCTAGACAGGCAAGGACAGAAAGTTTACCTCTCTTGGAAGTACAGTATGGTTTAACTAGAAATAGCTGATAGAATTTGTTCATGTTTGCTGAACATTTGCTAGTATTTTCAAAATTCTACAAGCTCTCTTTGCAGTTTTATTGTATAGAATAGAATATTTTCTTTAAATGTTTAATTCTTTTTGTTTCTTTGTTACCTTTTTTGTTTTTAAGAGATAGGATCTTGCCATATTGCCTAGACTGGGACTCCTGGACTCAAGCAATCCTCCTTCCTCAGCCTCCTAAGTAGCTAGGACTACAGGCGCACGCCACCACACCTGGCTAATTTTTCTGTTGTTTGTAGAGACAGGATCTTGCTATGTTGTCAAGGCTGGTCTTGAACTCCTTGTATCAAACAATCCTCCTGTCTTGGCTTCCCAATGAACTGGACTACAGGCATGAGCCACTGCACTCAGCCTGTTACCTTTTTTTTAAAACACCGACTTCATCAGTCTATTAATCTCTTTGCTTTCCTCCACCCTTTTTTTTTTTTTTTTTTTTTTTTTTTTTTTTTTTTTTTGACATGGATGCTCAGTCTGGCACCCAGGCTGGCGTGCTGTGGTGCAGTGTTGGCTTATGCAACCTCCACCTCCCAGGTTCAAGCGATTCTTCTGCCTCAGTCTCCCGTGTAGCTGGGACTACCGGTGCATGCCACCACGCCCAGCTAATTTTTGTATTATTAGTAGAGACAGGGTTTCATCATGTTGGCCAGGCTGGTCTCGAACTCCTGACCTCGCAATCCGCCCGCCTCAGCTTCCCAAAGTGCTGGGATTACAAGCATGAGCCACTACGTCTGGCCGACCCTTTCTTTAATTTCCCTTATGCATTGTTTTAAAAATCATATCTCGTGGTTAATGATTTCATTCTTTATATTTATCTGAATTCTGTATATTTCACAACTAATTAGATAACTTTTTATAGTATTTGAGAATGTGTAAATTAGCCATGCAAAATAAGAGTTCTACATTATTTGGAGTAGTGGGGTAGGGGAGAGTTTTTTTCCCTATGATAACATGTTTTTTTTTGTTTTTTTTTTTTTGAGATGGAGTCTTGCTCTGTCGCCCGGACTGGAGTGCAGTGGCCGGATCTCAGCTCACTACAAGCTCCACCTACCAGGTTTACGCCATTCTACTGCCGCAGCCTCCCGTGTAGCTGGGACTACAGGCGCCCGCCACCTCGCCCAGCTAGTTTTTTTTGTATTTTTTAGTAGAGACGGGGTTTCACCGTGTTAGCCAGGATGGTCTCGATCTCCTGACCTCGTGATCCGCCCGTCTTGACCTCCCAAAGTGCTGGGATTACAGGCTTGAGCCACCGCGCCCGGCCGATAACATGTTTTAATTTTACAAATAAGGGAACAGCCTAAATTTTCCTTCCTTATTTTTTCACTTCCTTTTTTTTTTTTTTTTTTGAATTTTTATACTGTGGTAACATAAAATTTGCCATTTTAACCATTTTTAAGTGTACAGTTAGTGGCATTACATTCACAGTGTTGTGCACCCACCACCAGTATTTCCAAAAATTTTCCATTACCCCAGAGAGTCTATAATTATTTATCAATCACTCTCCATTTCCCCTTCCCCTCCAGCCTCTGGTAACCACTAATCTTTCTGTTTTTATGAATTTTATAATTCTTTCTCATACAGTACCACTAAGAAGTACAGATAATATTCACTTTGTAAAATATCATTTACAATATATGGTATTTTGCTATCATTATCTACAGGGTCTGTCTTAGTTATCTATTACTGCATAACAAATTGCTCCAAAACTTAGTGTCTTAAGACAATAGCCATGTATTATTTCTTATAGTTTCTATGGGTGCAGGATTCAACCAGGGTACAACAGGGATGACATGTCTCCTCCATGATGACTGTGGCCTTTCCTGGAAGACACCCACGCTAGGGGCTGATAACTTCTCTGAAGGCTTGTTCACTCATGTGTCTGGCAATTGGTGCTGTCACCTGGGAGCTTTTCTGGGGCTGTCAACTGGAACACTGCAGGCTTTCTCCATGTGGCCTGGGTTTCCTCACACCAATGGTGTCTAGGTTCCCAAGGCAAGTGTCCCAAGAGAGAAAGAAAGGGAGTGACAGAGGGCCAGCCAAGTTGAAGCCATATTACTTTCAATGACCTAGCCTCAGAAGTCACATAGCATCGGCTGGGCATGATGACTCACGCCTATAATCCCAGCACTTTGGGGGCCCAGGGCGGGTGAATCACCTCAGGTCAGGAGTTCAAGACGAGGGCCAACATGATGAAACCCCGTCTCTACTGAAAATACAAAAATTAGCTGGGCGTAGTGGTGAACGCCTGTAATCCCAGCTACTTTTGGGAGGCTGAGGCAGGAGAATTGCTTGAACCTGGGAGGCGGAGGTTGCAGTGAGCCAAGATTGCACCATTGTACTCCAGCCTGGGCGACAAGAGCGAAAAACTCTGCCTCAAAAAAAAAAAAAAAGAAGTCACACAGCATTATTTTAACTGCATTCTGTTGGGTGAGACAGTTACAAAGGTCTACTGAGGTTCAAGGAAGAAGAACATAGATCCCACCTCTCAATGGAGGCATGTCAGTGTCACATTGTAAGAAGAGCATGTGAAATGACATAAGAATTGGTGTGACCATCATTGAAAATATATTCGGCCACAGCGTGTTTCTAACATAGCTCCCAACTGCACCTCCAAAACTGAATCCTTTAATTTACCCTCACTGTAGCTAATAAACCATGGAGACAGGTATCCTACTTTCTGTACTAGGAAACTGAGATTCACACATTGAAAAGATGAAAAACGTGCAATGGTATAGCTGTTCTTAAAAAAAAAAATACATTTCTTGAAAACAAGGTTATTATTAAAATGTGTCTACTAAAGAAGCTATCCTAATTAACAGGTTTTTTTTGTTGTTTTTTTTCCCCCCCAGGGTCTCACTCTCTTGCCTCAGCTGAAGTGCAGTGGCACAGTCACAGTTCACTGTAGCCTCAACCTCTCAGGCTTCAGCAATCTTCCCACCTCAGCTCCCCAAGTAGCTGGGACTACAGGTGCACGCCACCACTCCTGGCTAATTTTTGTTTTGGGTTTTTTTTGGTTTTTTGGGGGTTTTTTTTGTAGCAACAGGGTTTCACCATGTTGCCCAAGCTGGTCTTGAACTCCTGGGCTCAGGCAATCCTGCCATCTCAGCCTCCCAAAGTGCTAGGATTATGGATATGAGCCACCACACCCAGCCTAATTAACAGCTTCCTGGTCAAGATGCTTCTTGGTCAAGAAAACATTTTCATATGAATAACATTATGTATGAACATTGTGTTTATAGTTTGGCTGTGAAAGCGTTTTTTTAGGTCCTTGATTGTCCTGAAATATTTGAATACACAATTGCCTTTTTTCCCCTGACATACATTTAGGGTAATGTATTAAGTATATTTTTATTATATAACCGCTCTAACCAAGTTATCTTACCTCTCTAAAGCTGCAGTTTCCTCCTTCAAAATGTGATAATAATAATAGTATTGACCTCACAGAACTGACATGAGGATTAAATGAGTTAATATATGTAAAATGCTTGGCACACAAAAAGTGCTAAGAAAAAAGTTAAGACACAGGAAGTACATGGATATGTTTTACATATATATATGTATGTATATATGAAGAGTCATACATATACATATGTATGTATATATGAATTCATTTCCAAAAGGTATTTAAAGGATAAGGCAATATGGTTAATTAAAATATTTTGTTAAGCTCTTTTATGTAAGAAGAACATATTAGATTGCTTCTTACTTTGATAACTACTGTTTGCTTTTCCTAGTTCGAAAAAGAAAAACAGCATGATATTCGATCATTTTTTTTACCACAACCTAAAAAAAGACAGTTGATGACCTCCTGTGATGAATCAAAGAGATTCCAGGAGGAAAATACTGTAGTGTCATCAGACCCTACAAAAACAGCTGCAGGAGATACCATCGATTATGAAAGTGATGTTGAACCTGAAACTAAAAGATTGAAATTGGCCGCCTCGGATGACCACTGCAGTCCCTCGGAAGAGACACCATCCCAGTCCAGGCAAATCAGAACTCCACTCATGGAAAGTGTCCAGGAGGCCAAGGCCCAGTCAGCCACCCCAGCCTTTCCTGTAGAGGGCTGGCAGTGTAGTTTCTGCACATATATCAATAATTCAGTGTTACCTTATTGCGAAATGTGTGAGAATCCTCAAGGCAGTGCTGGTGAGTATATAGAAGGTGACCACGGAGGTAAGGGCTGTTAGTGGTGTCTTCAGATAACCTGTGCTTATAGAGACTGCTGTTATCCACGGATAGTGTGACTCAGCACAACTTTAGCTTTTAAATTGGAATAAGAGCTTCATATAGTGAAGACTGAATTTATCCCTTGTGGAATGTGAAAAGCTCCTGGTTCTGTCAAGAATGTATATCCCCAAACGTCTGTGATATGGCATTAATTTGGCACAAATGGACATTTCTGATTAATGTCAGCAGGATATGAATTCAGTGGGCAGGAATAGAAGCTCTGTTGCTATGGTAGCAAATATGCCTTATACTCATAGACTTACTATTTTCTCTCCTCTGTAGCTAATACTTGTTTTTAAGGAAATTGTGGATTATTTTTATGTTTAAATAGCAAAATAATGTAATGTCGCTTCTTTGCCTAGTCAGTATACATTGTGCCATGGTTTTTGCTTTTCAAAGCATCAAAATTGCTCTATGGATCAGTCTTCATTTGTGAACCGATTTGATGTCTGGCTTTTTTGAGCTTATTCTTTTTTAAAACATTATTTTAAAGTTAGAAATCATAAATATACCTCAAGTATGTTTTTATAGCATGGGATACCATTTTCTGATGTTTAGTTTCTGAAATGATTATTAATACCCATGGTTGTCATACATCCGTATTCTTGTTTCCAATTCTATAGGGCATTTTTATAGTAATAAAAATGCCAAGCTGACAGTTTTGGAAACTGGAAGTACACATTTTATTTTATCATTTGTAATAATTGTACACATCTAATTTTGCATCATACATTAATTCTTCAAAATATTGGCATTGACAAAGACTCAGCTAAGATATAAATTCTGATATTGCAGTTCCTTCCTCCTGCCTTGCTCTTCTCTCTGTCTTAATTTTGATTTGAAGGAAAATGTAGGGAAGAGCTGAGTCTTCCCTCTTTCACTTTGGGTGCTTCTACCAAAATTGACAAGTCTGCCATGTGGGTGGTGGTTATATTTGTATGTGGGCACCTGTTGTCTGTGAACTAAATTGGAATCACATGCTTATTCCATGTAATATCTCTGTCACAATTAGCATGATTCCATGCAATTCCCAACTGCTACAGGCAATAAAAATAAGTTCTATTTTGACTATGAAATAATGTCAGTTCACATTAAATGTATAAGTTGAATGATTTAGCAACAAAAGTCATAATTTAATATGGGTTTTATAGTTCTGATTTTTCCTTTGTGATACCAAGAGCAACAATGAAAATTTCTAGACCTGGGATTTAATAAGGAATCTCTCAAGCAACTTAAAAAAATAAAAACTACCTTTTGTGAATATGAAAGTCTGATTAGAGAGAAATAGATAGTCTATGTAACAGTGATATTACTATATATAAAAATATAATTATTAGATTTATATTTCTACCGCTGCCACATCTAATACCCAAATCTTCTCCTCCCTGTTCTTTACTACATCATGCTAAAAACCTGGGCTGTATCTTTGGTCTCTTGCTCACCTCCCACACTCAACCCATCAGGTAACCTCCAAATAAATCTTGATTCCAACCACTTTATCTTTATTGCTACCATCCTACTCTAAAGCCACTATCTTTCTCCCAGACCTCAACAGTCCCCATATTAATCTGATCCTTCAGTGCACAGCAGCCAAAGTGATCCTTTATTCCTTTGCCTAAAACTCTTTAATGGCTTTCAGTTACATTTAGAATATTTAGACCAAGAATATAGGCCCGAGTCCAAGCTTCCTAGATCCATGAACAGCTCTCAGCTCAAATGGGACTCCTTTCAGAGCTTGGTCCTCATGACTTTTGCTATAGGAGTGCTCTCCAAAACCTTCTTACAAAAAAAAAACCTTAGTTGTGTCTTTATCTGAAAATATACTATTTACCTATTTGCTTATTTTATTGTCATTCTCTGCCATTTAGAATGGAGTCTAGAATGCAGGGATTTCTCTGTCCTGTTCCTGCTGTCTCTTCAGCATCTAGAATAGTACTGGGCATATAGTAGGCTCCTGATAAATGTTTTGAACATATGAATAAACATTATTCACTTTGTTTCTTTCTATAAGACCTACCTGTTACATTCTTTTTACTTTTAAGTGGAAATTATTACATTTTTGTAATAATTTTTATTTTAATAGTTATGCAAATAGATAGCCTCAGCCATATCCAGGATAAAAACGAGGATGATTCTCAGAAAGACACCTCCAAAAAGGTTCAAACTATCTCAGACTGTGAAAAACAAGCCCTTGTACAGTCAGAACCTGACCAGTTGGCTGACAGCAAAGAAGAGACATCAAAAATTGAGAAAGAAGATGGACTTACATCCCAGCAAGGTAATGGTAAGTCTTGTTTCCATTTCTAGCATCCAAGTAATAACCATATACTTTCACACATAATACTGTTATTAGATTAGTAATTACTACCTTGTTCCAGGTTCCTTTTACTCTCTTTTATATTAAAAAATACCAACCATTTGTAACTACATACTTAAACACCAGATGGCTGGAAGAGCTGAGTATGTCTGTTGGCATTCAGACATTACACATAGAGCAAAACCGATAAATAGCTACATGTGCTGCCACCAGGCCTGTTGCCCAGCCTCAACCAAGCCTAGCTCATTCACACAGTAAGGGTGTTGTTTTGATATTTGGGAGGTGCTTTGGACAAAACAGTAAGACTGACAGATAATTAACTAACACTTAGCATATCATTAATCCTTTACACAAAAATTGTTGTAAATGGTTGCACTTAATTAGCATTTTTTTAAAAAGTATTTTAAAGAAAATGTTTTTAGGGAACATGATGTCAAGACTGTATGAATCATGACTGCATTTGGAGCCAACCATACAGTGTTTCGGATTTATTTACTTTTTGGTTGATTCCATTCATTATTTATAGCTGTGATGGTTAGCAAATACCAGCCTGTATGTCATACTTCACTATCATTTATGGGCCAGCTGGCAAGAGACTGAGTACTTTTGGGTTATTTTCCTTGTTACTCATTTAGTGACCATAGTAATATACAGGTTGATATTCTTATTAAAACAAACCCAATAGTTGGGATGAGACTGTTGAAGTTTTTCTTCTAAGTTAGTTGCTATTAAACACTAATACAATTTAGAGTCTGACTCATAGCTTTAAAATGAAATGTTCATTTAAGAATTTCTGAGCTCTAGGCATCCTCCTTTCTTCTTCTCTCAGCCTTCCTTCTAACCTCTCAAGGTCTTCCCAAAGAATGTCTTGGAATGGATCTGTTTAGGTCTGTTCATTTTAACAGCTTTTAAGTAGACAGTGTAGACTCAGGTGGGTTATACTCTTTGGTGTCTCTAGTTTTCTTTATCTTACTGTGAGAAACTCTCAAGTGCTGATGAAACTCTGGTTATGGGACAGCATATGGCTCAGTGAACTAAATAGCAGACTAGGAACCAACACCTGGCAATTGTCATCAACGGGGCTATGGATCTCTTCATCTATGGCAGGGAAATATTGGCTTGTTAGTTGTACATTGGTCTCTTGATGAAAACATGTTAGCTTGTACTTACAAATGCTTTTTAGAAATCACTTTGGGGAGGCTGAGGCAGGAGAATGGCGTGAACCCAGGAGGCGGAGCTTGCAGTGAGCTGAGATCCGGCCACTGCACTCCAGCCTGGGCGACAGAGCGAGACTCCGTCTCAAAAAAAAAAAAAAAAAAAAAAAATCACTTTGAAGTTCTGTTCTGCCAATGAAATTTGCTTTGGCCTCATTCACTCCAGACAATGCCAGCATTTACCCCTTACCTATTCCTGTTTCCCTTTTTTGACTTTTCAGATCATTGGGCTGAGAATTCCACATAAGAGGTATGCTTCACATCTTTCCACTGACATGAATTTCAATGAAAAACAAACAGAAAACAAAGGAAGCACACTATGTTAAATGCTTATTCTACCTACATATGCTCTTTTAGAACCAGAGTGATATGTACTACTCTAGAACTGTAGTTTTGTTCTCTCTGGAATTCCAGGAGTTTGGAAGAATAACCATAGGTGCATTATCTCTAGTCTCAAATCATTAATTTACACTTCATGGCAACACTGAAAAGATAAATATGTTCCCTAATGTAGCTGATAGCTATCAAGAATTAATATCAACTGATTTGGAATTGTTACAGTTATTTTTATCAAAGAATGGCTTCTGATCTTTAAGCATTAATGCATAGTTCTTCAAAGAAAACTGCCAATTAAGCTATGACACAATACCTTAATGTTAGCCCAGACCAGGCCACATCATCCTCTGTTGCTTTGACATTTCTTTCATGTGCTCTGAGGGATTTGGCAATTTCTCCTGCTGTCAGTTGCTTTCTTTGGCATGTAATAGGCAACCCTTTTGAACATCTCAGTAACCAAATGTAAGACATCTTCCTCTATTTGCAGAGCTCTTGTTTCCTTTGGTACCATGAAGCACTCCATTATTCCTTTACAAGAAAATAAGATATTTTGGTTATTCCTCCAGTGATACACATTTGCTCCTTTAATATCAAGTTTATGCTTTCCTGGTCTGTATCCAAGTTTTATGGTACATATGATAACTTTTCATTTCAATACCAAATCACAGTGAAAAAATTTAAAGACATTTTAAAGGTAATAAAGTCAATACATATAGTAACAACAATGCATATACCTCATGTGTAGTGTAGAAGTGACAATAGTATTACAGCTATGACTCAGCTTATGCATACTAAGGCAAAGACAACTGTTTTACAACTGCCACATGGCCAGCAATGATTGTAAAATGCCATCGTTGTTATTGACTGTAAGACATGCCAGTTTCAGAGATGTTAAAGTACATTTTTGAATTTACAAAATAAGGGAATAATTCATAAATCAGGTTTGTAAAGTGGTCAGTGCCTTGATTAGAAAAATAATAGTATGATGACATTGCCAAGTAGAATGGCAAACAAATCATAGACTTCTAGGTCTGGGAAAGTACTTTAAAAGATCACTGAGGAACTGTGAGAGAAGGTAAGAGCACAGGCTCTGGAGCCAGCTTGCAGGTTTTATGTCCTCTTACTAGGCATGTGACCATAAGTTAGCGTGCCTCAGTTTCTTCCTATGTAAAATGCACTATTTATTTCTGAAAGGTATTACTGTATGTACCTACAACAGTGCCTCGCACATTGTGTGTGCTCACTAAATGTTAACTCTAATTATTATTTAGACCTGCATTGATAATCCTGTATCTCCTGCAAAATATATTGGACAGTAGGACTAAGAAAGGGCTAAATAAGAAGAGATTATCAGAAAAGAAGCTTGTCTACTTATCTTCTTTTGTGAATGTCAGGCACGAGGCTCCCGGGAATCAGGCATTTAAGTGGCCCTCAACATAGCGATGTTGCTGCTAATAATCAAAATGGTGCTTATTCAGTCTCAAATCTACTCTAGCAAAAGGAATAGATTAGTCTAAACTTCAAGACCAATAACAGCTCTTATTGGTGGAAATTCTTCCTTATGCCTACCTAACTTGTATTTTTTCAGCTAATTCTGAATCTGTTTGTTTCTTGTTAGGTCATTAGCAAAAATGTAAAACAATTGGTTACCATATAAGCCGATATGCTCTTCAATGGCCTACTGTGGTAGCTTTATTTCAAGGCTAGACAGTTACTTTTTGTTAAATGTATTGATATTTTTGATATAGCTATTTCATCATTCTAACCTACACATGATTAAAATAAGCTATTTTAGATAGAGAGTAGATAAGCCTTCAGGTTCTCTTTTGTCTTCTTTAATAGAACAGTTGAAGAGTTCAGACACTTTGCCAGTGTATGACACCTTAATGTTTTGTGCAAGTAGGAATACTGACCGGATTCACATCTATACTAAGGTAAGTATCATGCAGAGTCTGTAACTTGAAACATAAAAAAATACTTCCTTTTTTCACTTTTCAGTGGAGATACTTAATTTTATTAACAATGAGATAAGCATCTAGTTATTTTCCTCCTTAAAGCTAATTCTCAAATTTCTGTGTTAAATCTAAAGACAATGAGAGGTAAAACCACACAGTCTTTAAGAACATAGACTTCAGGGCCGGACTGCCTCAGTTCAAATCTATTAGTATGTAATCTTGGACACATTACTCAACTGCTCTGTGCTTCAATTTCCACAACTGTAAAATGTGGTATACCCCATTTACCCCATTTATGTGATTATTACACATTGTATGCCAGTATCAAATTATCTTATGCATCCCATAAGTATATAAACCTACTCTGTACCCTTAAAAATTAAAAATTGTTAAAATAATAAAAAATAAAATGCAGACAGGATTTGTTGCAAAGATAAAATGAGCTGAGTCCTGTAAAGCACTTAGGACAGTGCCTGGCCTACATGAACTCTCCATAAATGTTAATCCTGCACTGATCACTTGCAGCAGCAGGAGCAGCAGCGTCTTTACAGAAGCCTAGACCTGCCCATTCATGTTGAGTAAATGCTAGGAAGCTTTTGTCAGATGATTGCTGATTCCTGCCATAGGCTAGCTTAGTAGTACCCAAACTTTTTAGACTCAGGACCTCTTTGCACTCCTAAAATTTATTGAGAACCCCAAAGACCTTTTGTTTATATAGGTTATATCTATTGATGTCTACTATATTTGAAATTAAAATGGAGCTTCTCAAAAATATTCATTTATGGTTGGGTGTGGTGGCTCACACCTGTAATCCCAGCACTTGGAGAGGCTGAGGTGGGTGGATTACCTGAGGTCAGGAGTTTGAGATCAGCCTGGCCAACATGGTGAAACCCCCTCTCTACTAAAAATACGAAAATTAGCTGGGTGTGGTAGCGAGTGCCTTTAATCCCAGCTACTCGGGAGGCTGAGGCAGGAGAATCATGTAAACCTGGAAGGTACAGGTTGCAGTGAGCCAAGATCGTGCCACTGCACTCCAGCCTGGGCGACAAAATGACACTCTGTCTCAAAAAAAAAAATTTTTTTTTTCATTTATTCACTTAAATGTGAATAATTAACAATTACATTTTTCTATTTCTTTTTTTTTTTTTTTTTCTCACCCTGTTGCCCAGGCTGGAGTGCAGTGGCACCATCTCGGCTCACTGCAACCTCCACCTCCTGGGTTCAAATGATTCTCCTGCCTCAGCCTCCAGGTAGCTGAGACTGCAGGCACCTGCCACCACACCTGGCTAATTTTTATATTTTTAGTAGAGATGAGGTTTCACCATATTGGCTGGGCTGGTCTCGAACTCCTGAACTTGTGATCCGCCCACCTCAGACTCCCAAAGTGCTGGGATTACAGGTGTGAGCCACCACACCTGGCCATTTTTTTGTTTGGTTGTTTTTTTTTTTTAGAGAGAGAGGGTCTTTTTTTTTTTTTTTGAGACAGAATGTCTTGCTGTGTTGCCCAGACTGGTCTCAAACTCCTGGGTTCAAACAGTCTGCCACCTCAGCCTCCTAAAGGTGCTAGGATTACAGGCGTGAGCCACCATGCTTGGCCAACGATTATTTTTAAGTGAGGAAATGCATATTTTAAGATAAATAAACCCATTATATATTTATATAAATAACTTTTTTTATTTAAAATAATTATATTTTCCAAGTCAAAAACATATTTAGTGAGAAGATTGTCATTGTTTTACATGTTTAGCAATTTTCTCTAAAGTCTTGATGGAAAACAGTGGGATTCCGGTATCTGTCTCTGTGTTCAGTTTGTTGAGACAGCGTTTCATGTAGCCACTGGAAAAAGTCACCATACGTTTGTGAAAGAATGAGAGTGGAAAAGGCAAACAGTATCTTGCTATTGGTATGAAAACACGACTTTCTGAAAGTGAGAATCTATGGCCTGGATAGATTATTAATACTTTTATTTGGTCTAAAATTTTAAATTTCTTTTTTTTTTTTTTTGAGACGGAGTCTAGCTCTGTCACCCAGGCTGGAGTGCAGTGGCACAATCTCGGTTCACTGTAACCTCCGCCTCCCAGGTTCAAGCGATTCTCCTGCCTCAGCCTCCCGAGTAGCTGGGATTGCAGTGCCCACCACCACACCCAGCTAATTTTTCTATTTTTAGTAGAGACAGGGTTCCACTGTGTTGTCCAGGCTGGTCTTGAACTCCCGACCTCGTGATCTGCCTGCCTCGGCCTCCCAAAGTGCTGGGATTACAAATGTGAGCCACTGCGCCCGGCCTAAAGTTTTAAATTTCTAATCTTTATAAGTATAATAAGATAGTATTTGAAACTTTTAAAACTCATGGTCCATTATATCGATGTTTAAAAGATAATATGTTGGAGATGACCAAACTTTCCGTTACAGGTTTTCTACTAAACCAAATATAGATATAGATAGTGTACCATGTAATAATCTTCTCTTAGGAGGAGATGGCTAGGATCATGAATACCAGCATCCCCAAGCAGCCTCTAGCATAGGACAATAACTGAGAGAGAGACACCAAGAACCAAGCCAGGCAGTAATCAATTCTCCTCTTACAGGTGTGGAGCCTGATCTACCATGTGGAGCCTCTGACATGGTGAACCAGGCTACAGGGAGCACCAGTGACTCCTTTATTCATCTTGAGGCAGGTTTAAGTGCCTGAGCCACCCTCGTCCCCCATGTTGGGAGAGCTTTAGGCCATGCTTCTTTCTCAGACCATCACAGGAGAGGGACAGAGAAATGGTCCCAAGAGGGGCTTGAAGGTAGACAAAACCAAAGGACAGACACCAGGCAGAGCATACCACAGAAATCCAGAAGCCCTTAAATTCTTTAATCTTTTTTAACTCTATACAGTGAAAGCTCTGCCGCTTGGATTACCTGATCAGTGTTGTATCCCTGTTGGGGTGCAGACAGAGAACTGCAGGCTCCTGATAGAGGGTATAATGCACCTGCTGCCAAACCAAACCACAGCGACCACCTCGCTGACCCGTATTCAGGCTCTGCCGCCAGCCTAGTAGCCTGCTTCTTCTTGACATTTCTGTTAATGGTATCAAATATAGTTTTATGACTGTTCTAAATACTTACATGTCTCTTTACCATAAAATGTTATCACCCAAATAATTTTCCAAACACAAGACACTGAGCAGATGAATTGTTGACATATCTTTTCACAACCAGAGTAGAGCTGAAATGAAAGCTTTCCTTTTCACCTTAAAAGAGCTGAAGTAAGGCTGGGCACAGTGGCTCATGCGTGTAATCCCAACTCTTTGGGAGGCCGAGGCAGGCGGATCACCTGAGGTGAGGAATTTGCGACCAGCCTGACCAATATGGTGAAACCCCGACTCTACTAAAAATACAAAAATCAGCCGGGCGTGATGGCAGGCACCCGTAATCCCAGCTACTTGGGAGGCTGAGGCAGGAGAATCACTTGAACCCGGGAGGTACAGGTTGCAGTGAGCCAAGATTGTGCCACTGCACTCCAGCCTGGGCAACAGAGTGAGACTCTGTCTAAAAAAATAAAAATAAAATAAAATAATTCCTAGTTCACTGCCTAAAAGGATACCCCTTTAAAGGAAGAGTAGTAACAGACATTTAGCATCCTGTGTCGTATTAGAACTGTTCATTTCAGCCAGAATCCCATGTCTATATCAGGGTTTAGAATTACATACCAATTTTTTTTTTTTTCCTGAGATGGAGTCTCTCTCTGCTGCCCAGGCTGGAGTGCAGTGGCGGGATCTCGACTCACTGCAACCTCTGCCTCCGGGGTTCAAGCAGTTCTCCTGCCTCAGCCTCCAGAGTAGCTGGGATTACAGGCACGTGCCACCACGCCCAGCTAATTTTTGTGTTTTTTGTAGAGACAGGGTTTCACCATGTTGGTCAGGCTCATTTTGTGCTCCTGACCTCGTGATCCTCCCGCCTTGGCCTCCCAAAGTGCTGGGATTACAGGCGTGAGCCACTGCACCTGGCCTCAAAATTTTAAATCAGTGCGTACTTTTTGTATGTTTTTCTCTAAAGTAATTGTGGGAGCTGTAACTTTTTTTTTTTAACTGAGAGAATATGAGTTCAACTATTGATAAAGTAGATTTTCGTATGAGAGATTCTTCCATTTATAAAGGAAATACTTCTACTGCACCGCTGTATGTGGTTACTTTGTACCCTTAAGATTTCAGAGGCTGGGCATGGTGGCTCATTCCTGTAATCCTAGCACTTTGGAAGGCTGAGGTGGAAGAATCACTTGAGCCCAGGAGTTCAAGGTGTTAGGATCACATGAGCCCAGCAGCCTGGGCAACATGGTGAAACCCTGTCTCTACAAAAAGTAGAAAAAAATTAGTCAGGTGTGGTGGAATTTGTGCCTGTAATTCCAGCTACTTGGGAAGCTGAGGTGGGAGGATCACATGGGCCCAGGAGGTTGAGGCTGCAGTGAGCCGAGATCACGCTGTTGCACTCCAGCCTGGGTGACAGAGTGATACCTTGTCTCAAAAAAAAAAAAGGGAAAAAAAAGATTTCAGGATGTTGTGCACCGATGGTTGGGACCTAAATGCAGTTCCACTTACTCTCCAGGTGGTACTATTGGCAGACAGTCCTCATTGACTGATACTGTGACATTGCTTTGGGGGAGCAAATTTTTAAGTAACTTCTCTAGAATTGATCTTTCTGCCTTCTCTTTACTTCCTTGTTCCTGTAACAATGGACAGACTTATCATTTGGTGAAGGTTATTCAGACTATTCCTTGATACCCTTCTTTGACGTGATACTTATGTTGTCAGTGAGTATAAAGAAGTTTATTTGCAAATTTGGGAATGGTTGTGCTACTGTTAACTTCAAGGATATAATATTCTTCTATGTTACTTTGCAGTGTATAATTTTATTGTTTTGATACATATTTCCAAGATTAGTCAATAGAAAAGAGTATGACACAGCAGTAAACAAAGCATTCCAGGCTGAAGGCAATAACCTTGGGGTAGGCATGGGCAGTGGAAGCACCCAGTGTGGTAGAGAGCCTGCCTCCCCTTCTTGGCTCACAGTTTCTCCAGAGGAGCCATTTTGGTGGACCCTTGTCTAGAATGTGTCACCTCAGTTTTTCTTTTAGGAGACTAGGCATATTGCGTCAAAATATAATTATTTTCATTTAAAATAGTTTCTAGTGCCTATACAAAAATGGATTGTTAGTGTCTTCCTAATCTATCATCAGGGTGGAAAACAGATGAGCTGTAATTTCATTCCTTTGGATATAAAATTAGACCTTTGGGAAGATTTACCAGCAAGCTTTCAGCTGAAACAAAATCGCTCACTGGTAAGAATAGTTTTAAATAAAATGGCTTTATTTACTTTAAATAAACTTGTTTTAATAATTTTAATGATCATTTTGAGTTTAAGTTTAAAAAAGCACTTTGTGTCATGTTATAGAGTCAAATCACTGGTTGCATTTTCTTCAGTCTAGGTGGTGCCTATTAATTACCCGGTGCTAAGAATATACGTGAAATCTGTTTCCTTGGCAAATGATCACACCTACAGTTACTGTTTCTGTGGATAGAATTATCCTCACATTATTTAATTTCTCATTCACAGGATTAGCAACTGTGATATTTGTATCTGCTAGAATCACATTTTTTCTACTAAGGTTAAGTTCTAACAATGACAAATTCCAAGAGCAGAGATAATACCTTATTGGGTGATTCTTGATTCATTAGCAGAAGCACCAGCATGCAGCTCCAGGCCAAGTTCCTGCCAGGGAGGTCTTAACACTCATCTGTGGCTGATTTTCCTTCACTGCCAAGAAGGGTCATCATGCGCAGGGGCTAACCCAGCATGCTGTGTACCATTTTTACAAGAAAATGGTGATTATTTTTTTTACCATTTGAGTGGAAATGAAGCATTGCCCATAGGTCAGCTATACCTGTTTTAAATGAAAAGGGAACAGTAAGCTATTTATTTGGAATAATCTAATCCTGATTCTCAGAGTCCCAAAAAATAGCCAGTTATATATACTTGAGTGGTAACCCTACTAAAAATGTCCCAGATTTGTTGGTTTTTTTTTCCTGTGAAAACTTAGGCATCATTTACAAAGCGATTCTCAGATGTTGCACTATCATTCTGTCACCTAGTTTTGCCTTGACCCCAGCTGGGATATGTACTTCCAGACCTTTTTTGGTCTCAATGAGCATATTATCACTGTTGATCTATGTGTGTTAAGGGCATACACTGCATGTCCTGAAACATGCCTTTAGAGAAGCTTTGGATTGAAAAAGATCTCTTGGCTGGGTGTGATGGCTCACTCCTGTAATGCCAACACTTAAGGAGGGTGAGGTAGGAGGATCACTTGGGCCCAGGAGCTTAAGAGCAGCCTGGGCAACATAGTGAGACCCTGTCTCTACAGAAAATAGAAAAACTAGCCAGGTGTGGTGGCATGTGCCTGTAGTCCCAGCTACTTAGGAAACTAAGGCAGCAGGAGGACTGCTGGAGGTCAAGGCTGCAGTGAGCCATGATCTTGCCACTGCACTCCAGCCTGGGCAACAGAGCAAGACCCTATCAAAAAGGAAAAAAAGTATCTCTTGAGAATGCTGTAGGTAGTTCACAATAAAGATATGAAAATTACGTCAAATTGAAGAAAGCATTAGGTTGTGGAACTCAAAAGCCTATTTGGGGAACATAACAAAAGAGCAGTTTTCTGATGTTATAAATAGGCTCACTTTCAAAGGAAGATGACTGTGAGCTGTTAACTCTTTATTATCTCATTTTCTGCCAGATTTTGAGATTTGTTCGAGAATGGAGTAGTCTAACTGCCATGAAGCAAAGAATAATCAGGAAAAGTGGACAGCTATTCTGTAGCCCAATTCTTGCTTTGGAAGAGATCACAAAGCAACAAACCAAACAAAATTGCACCAAAAGGTATGAATGGTCTTTTTTTTTAAATTTTGTATTATATTACTTTTCATGGTTCTTTCTACAGGAGGGTCTGAGGCATTTTTGGAACTATTAATGAAATCCTGATGAGTTATGAGAAAATTATGCATAAAATCACAGCCATATTATTTCATAACAACATAATTATGTTTAGTGAATTTGATAAAATCTGCTAAAAGAGATCAGGTTGTCCAGATCTTACTCTCCATGAGTCCCATTCATCAACAAAAAGACCAGAGTCACAGGATGGTGCAACCTATGACCTGCCAAGCCTGGGACACTTATTAGCAACAGGAATACATTTTACTCTTAGAACATCAGAGCATGCCTCTGGACCCCATCTGCTTGGCCCCGCTGTGGGGGAGTATGATGCTGTGCAGCACAGGAGCTGGTTCTGTTTGAATGCATCACCACCCAAGTAATGGAAGATAACTATAATCAGGTCCATGATTAGAAATGAAATAAAAGGAAAGGTTGACTGTCAGATATGTGTGACTGTTTTGCCCTTATCATTACAGGTTCCTTTCTAATCTCTCTGTACATTTGATTTCCTTCCTTGCCATCACAATCATCTTTATCCACTCAAGTCTCTCCGTGTGTGATCTCAAATCCCCGTTCTTTGTAAACTCTTTTCTTAGCATGAAGCAAGGATTATCAGGAAAAGTGGTCTGCTGTTTTGTAGCCCAGTCCTTGCTTTTGAAAGAGATTGCAGGCTGGGCGCCGTGGCTCATGGCTGTAATCCCAACACTTTGAGAGGCCAAGGTGGGTAGATTGCATGAGCCCAGGAGTTCAGTGATCAGCCTAGGAAACATAGGGAGACCCTGCCTCTATAAAAAAATAAAAATTAGCCAGGTGGCACACTCCTGTAGTTCTGGCTACTCAGGAGGCTGAGGTGGGAGGATCACTTGAGCCTGGGAGGTTGAGGCTGCAGTGAACTGAGATTGTACCACTGCACTCCAGCCTGGGCAACAGAGTGAGACCCTGTCTCAAACAAAACAAAACAAAACAAAGAAATTGCAAAGCAACAAAGCAAACGGCAGCATTGGCAGAGAAAGCCCTTTAACTCTTGCTGCACCGGTAATCTCTCTTCATCCTTGTATTTCATCAGTTTGTCAGAGAGGCTTCCTTTCTCTAGCTTTTTCCATGCACACAGGTGAAAAAAAATCCAGGGGTTGGGGGGGAGCAAGGGACCGAGAACGTGGTTGATTAAATAAATTATGATAGTTCCATAACATGGTTGATTAAATAAATTATGATAGTTCCATATAGTGAAAATCTTTTCCACTGTTTCAAAGTATGGCATATAGCACATTTATTTGTTTGTAAGAACAAGGAATAATACTTATGATAAATTGTTAAAGGTAGATATAAATTATAAAAAAAAAAAGGGGATGGAGACACAAACTTTACTATTTGCACAACTTGCTATTACTGACATAGAAATTGTCTAGAAGGATACCTTAGAAATTCTTATCATGGGTTTCTCTTGGACAGTGGTTTTCAATTGGGAGCAATTTGGTCCCCTAGGGTGGTAGTGTCTGGAGACATTTTAAATTGTCTCAAGTAAGGGATGTGACTAGGGAGTATCTAGTGGGTAGAGACCCAGGATGCTGCTGAGAATCCTACAGTGAACAGGATTGCACCTCCCAAAACAGAATTATCCATTTCAAAATGTCTATATTACCACTGTTGAGAAATCTTGCTCTAGGGCATAAAACTTGAGGATTTGTGGAGGTAGTAGGGACTTTATACTTTTTGCCAAGATTACAAACTCATTTGACTAAAAACAAAACAAGAATCACAAATGAATGAATGAGGTCAGTTATAAAACTAGAAAAGGATGAGATATGGGCTGAGACTATGTCAAACAGGCAGATTTGGAACCCATTTAGTCATTCAAATTCAGATTTAAAAATAAAATATTGGGCTGGGCATGGTGGCTCATGCCTATAATTCCAGCACTTTGGGAGGCCAAGGAGGACAGATTTCTTGAGCCCAGAGTTCAAGACCAGCCTGGGCAACATGGCAAAACCCCATCTCTACGAAAAACAGATAAATTAGCCAGGCATGGTGGTGCATGCCTGTAGTCCTAGCTACTTTGGAGACTGAGGCAGGAGGATCACCTGATCCCCTGGAGGTCGAGGCTGCAGTGACCCATGATTGCGCCACTGCACTTCAGCCTGGGAGACAGAATGAGACCCTGTCTCAGAAATAAAATAAAATAAAATAAAACAAAAATTAAATTAAAATTAAATTAAATTAATAAAATTTAAAAATACTGGCTAGCCATGGTGGCTCACACCTGTAATCCTAGCACTTTGGAAAGCCAAGGTGGAAAGATCACTTGAGGCCAAGAGCTTGAGACCAGACTGGTTAACATAGCGAGACTCTATCTCCACAAAAACCCAAAAAATAGCCAGGTATGGTGGTTCACGCCTGCAGTCCCAGCCATTCGGGAGGCTGAGACAGGAGGATCACCTGAGCCCAGGAGGTCAAGGCTGCGATGAGCTGTGATCATGCCACTGCACTCCAGCCTGGGTGATAGAGCAAGACCCTGTCTCAAAATGAATAAATAAATTTAAAATGCTGTATGAGTATAGTAAATTGATACTGTATGAGTACAGTAAAGCCCTTTGACTAATTGAATTTATCTATAAGTTGCCAGTTTTGGACTCTTGGCCTGAACTCTTCTGTAACGGTTGATTTTTTTTCCCATGGGCATGTGTCATTTTCTATAAAAATACATTTAAAATATATGTGTTACATATTTATATATATATACACACACACACATGCTTACACATAAGTGCACACATACACACACACATATATCAAAAAGCACAATGCCTATTTTATTTTTCTCAATACTTCCAGTCCTCTCAATCTTTCTCATTTTTGTAACCAGTCTTTGTTGACCTTCTCTTTCTCACATGATCATAATTCTCTTCATAACTGAATTTCTAGCTATTTCTAGATATGCCCTATTATTTCTTCTCCATTGGACATGGATGACCACTTAAAGTACCAACTGAGAAAGGTGACTGATCAGATTTAAAAGCAAAAGTCAATTCATAAAACCAAAGTCAGACACACAATGTTATTTATAAAATTATATATAGATAATATATTAAGGATATAACTTGTGTTAACAAGCAGCAGATTAATCAGATTTGTATTTTTTAGAATACAGCAGTATTCTAAATGTAAAAATACATTTTATTTTTTAGCTCTAGCAGCAGTTGGGAGATTAGATCAAAAAGGGCAAGACTCAAAGTGGGGAGATAAGTTACATTTTTCTATCGCTGCCATAACAAATTACCACAAATTTAGCAGCTTAAAACAACACACATTTATTATCTCACCCTTCTATAAGTAAGAAGTCCAAGTTGGCTGTTACTAGTTTTCTAGTAATGCTCTGGATTTTACAAGGCAGAAATCAAAGTGTTGGCTGGCTGGGCTGTAGTTGATAAGCTTGGAAAAGAATTCACCTCCAAGCTCACTAAGATTGTTGGCAGAACTCAGTTCCTTGCAGTTGTAGATCTGAGGTTCCTGTTTATTCCTGGCTGTCAGCTGGACTGTCAGCTACTAGAGGCCTCTCTGTGGTCCTAGCACGTGGACCTCTACATATTTCTCCTTGGAATCTCTCTGCCTTCCTCTTCTGCTTTTAAGGGCTCAAGTGATTACATTGGGCCCACTCAGTAATCTCCCTATCTTAAAGTGAGCTGATTAGTAACCTAATTATATCTGTAAAGTCCTTTTATAGCATTATCTAAATTAATGATTGATTAAATAACCTGGGGACAGGAATCCCAGAGGGTATCTTAAAATTCTGCCTACTACACAAGTTAAAAGACTATTCTAGTATACCTGGAGAAAAATGATGAGGATCTATATTAAGTGATTACAATGGGAATCAGGAAAGAGAATGAAGAGAGCTATTAAGGAGGTATGTCTAGAGACTTGGTGACTGATTATAGAGAGGCAGAGAGAGAGAGGCCCCCAGGGAAACCAACTTAGCAACATCATAAAATGAAACCTCTGTACCTGCAGCGGGGAGATACTATCAGGAAGCATTCTGATTCTTGCTGCAGAACCCAAAGTAAGTCTCAGTAATTTGGAATAACCATGTATCTCTGAAAGCAAATGTGAAATATGCTGTTGAATAGCAGCATTGAGTGGCAGTCTGTATGAGCACCAGTTAGACACTGTCCTATCAATTTATTTTCTAGAGAAACTGAATCAGAGAGTCTCCAGACCTAGAAACATCAGGCTCGGTAAAGAGTGAGGTATTAGATTGAAAACTGAAACTCCCCAGACCCTCTTTTTGGCGCAGCTTTCAGATTGACAGCAGCGACATTTTACTTCCTAAACAGGAGGTTAGAGGATTTCTTTCTTAAAAGTATTGAATGGTTCTGAAAAAAGACCTATAGTTAACTGACTTTGGGCATTCCCCCAAATGCAATGGCTAGGTCTCCAACCAGATTATCCGCCAGTGATGTCCACCAGTTTGCGGGCCCCATCCAAGCTCAGAGCTTGCAGTCAGCTTTTAAATATCTGACTTTTACATGTGAATGGAAGCCAAGATTACCAGCCATTGTTATGGTTACCAGTACCATTTATCAGAGGCAGGCCTAATTCACTTGGAGCCCTGTCATGTTTAGGATGCCAATTGTTTAATCACTAGTTATAGCTGAGCTCCAAAGCAGGTCAGAAATCCAGAGCCCAGGATTGTGTTCATTGATGTGGGCCACTTTGTGACGTACACTCTTCTTGCAAAAATTGCTATCTTCCACTCCTGTCCCTATCCAGGAATTTGTTTAGTAGACAACATCCTTCCTTCTCTATTTACTAAAATTGGGATTTACCATAATCCTTTTGGGAGTTGGTGAACTTCCTCGCAAACCTCAGCAGAAAATTAAGTATTGGCAACTTGCAACTACATTTGAAAAGTTGTCAGCTCCCTTTTTTGGAATTGGTTCATCTGTTTCTTGTGGTTTCCAAAAATTTATTCTTAAACCTCTTGTAGGAAAGCAAAAGGTTATTTTTAGTTTCTAAATCTCTGACTAGATTTCTCAGCATCTTTTAAAGTTACTGAATTAGGTTTTTAAGCTTTTAAACATTGAATAATAATACCTCAGGCAAGGCTTAATATCCCATTGCCCCTAAAGCTAGGAAGCTTTTGAGTTCATTTAGAATTCACAGAAATACTTTCCCGAGTGCATTTTCCAAGGGAATAAAATGGTTGAAGAAATTGTTGGAGGTGGGGCCAGAGAAGGAGGAAGTTTGGGAACTAAAAGGGCAAGTAAAAGAACTCTACAACAATTTACTGTGCTTTAACTACTACTACTACTGCCCAGACTGGAGCACGATGGCTTAATTTCCTTTTTGCTCTAAGAAAGACATGCAAGTAGAGTGCAAACATGTGAAAAGATATTCCCCTTTACTCTTAATAGGAATGCAAATTTTAAAATCTACAATGAGATACCTATCACTATTAGCAGAGACTTTAAAAATGACATTGTGCTAGTGAAAGAGAAGAAACAGATACTCTTATTTGTTGCTGGTGGACACGTACACTGGTATAACCTTAGAGGAAAGACATTTGTCAAAATCTACCCACATTTAAAACACCTAAGACCTTTGACCAAGGAATTCTATTTCCAGGGATTTATTCTACAGATACATAATGTGTAGAAAATATCATATATAACGATATCTATTACAGCATTGTTTGTGATAGCAAAGACTGGAAACAACCTAAATGTCCATTTATCAGAGACTGATCAAATATATGGTTTATCCATATAATGGAATAACATGGAGCCATTAAAAAGAATAGGGAAACTATGAATCCTAATAAGGAAAGATCTCTGAGAAGCATGTTTTGGTAAAAAGAGCAAGGTGAAGATCAGTATATATGCTATGCTATTATTTATTTCTAAAAATAAAAGGTATAATGAAGAATGAGTGCTAGTGGGTATGGGTATCTTTTTGTTTCGTTTTTTGTTTTTGTTTGAGACAGGGTCTCAATCTGTTGCGCAGGCTGGAGTGCACTGGCATGATCTCAGCTCACTGCAACCTCTGCCTCCGGGGTTCAAGTGATTCTCCTGCCCCTGCCTCCCGAGTAGCTGGGACTGCAGGTGCACACCACCATGCCCGGCTAACTTTTGTATTTTTAGTTGAGACAAGGTTTCACCATGTTGGCCATTCTGGTCTCGAACTCCTGACCTCAAATGATCCACCCGCCTTGGCCTCTCAAAGTGCCAGGATTACACACGTGAGCCACTGCACCCAGCCTCAGGTTTCTTTTTGGAGTGATGAAAATATTCTGGAATTAGTGGTGATGGTTGTACAACCTTGTGAATATACTAAAATGCACTTAATTGTAAACTTTTAATTGGTGAATTTTATGCCATGTAAATGATGTATCAATGGAAATGCAAAAATAAGTAAATAAAAGGTATACACCTATACTCAGAAAAGAAATAAACTATTTATTTATTTATTTATTTATTTATTTATTTATTTATTTTGAGACAGAGTCTCTGTCACCCAGGCTGGCGTGCAGTGGCGCAGTCTCAGCTCACTGCAGCCTCCATCTTCCTGGGTCAAGTGGTTCTCCTGCCTCAGCCTCCCGTGTAGCTGGGATTACAGGCATACACCACTATGCCCAGCTAATTTTTGTACTTTTAGTAGAGACAGGGTTTCACCATGTGAATGTGTGAAAAGATATTCCCCATTACTCTTAATAGGAATGCAAATTTTAAAATCTATGATGAGATACTTATCACTATTAGCAGAGACTAATATGTTGGCCAGGCTGGTCTCAAACTCCTGACCTCAGGAGACCCACCCACCTTGGCCTCCCAGAGTGCTGGGATTACAGGTGTGAGCCACCATGCCAGGCCAAAAATAAACTATTTCTAAAATGAGCCAGACACAGTGGCTCACACCTGTAATACCAGCACTTTGCGAGGCTGAGACAGGCTGAGACAGGCCTCGCATGGTGGTGCATGCCCGTAATCCCAGCTCTGGGAGGCTGAGGCATGAGAATAGCTTGAACCCAGAAGGCAGAGGTTGCAATGAGCCAAGA